GGTCAGTACAGTTTAACCAACGTACGCCTCAACCGTCTCACAAACCCCGGGAGTATGTTCTGACCACTGCGGTTGGGAGCGGCTGTTCGGAACAGTGACTACAGTTCGCTAACTACTGCGGTGGGATGAGGAAAGTACTCCCCCATTTTTATTTTCTTGTTTTGAAGCCTGATCCTCTTTAAAGCACATTCTACTCTAATTTCAGCATATCGAAGGGGCCGGAGAAAATTAGTTTGGACAAAAGCTAGGTCGGACAGCACTTTTAGGGATTTTGGAAAAGTCACCAGGTCGGAGAAAAATAGGTCGGACATTCTAGCTGCACCGAGGGCGCCGGGAGGGTAGGCGGGCCCGCGGAACAGACATGCCGTGCGCTCGCGGTGCTACCCAGTGAGTGGCTGACTTTGTGACGAGTTGTGGCTGAGGGCCCAGTTGTGGATGAGAGGCGCCTGGAGGGTAGGCGGGCCCGCAATACATACTCGCCGTACGCCCCCCACCTTGTTTGTAATTTGTGGGTACCCTTGGGACGAGTTGTGGCTGAGGTCCCAGTTGTGGCTGAGGGCGCCTGGAGGGTAGGCGGGCCCGCACTACATACTCGCCGTACGCCCGCGGCCGTACCCAGTGAGTGGGTGACCCTGGGATGAGTTGTGGCTGAGAGCGCCTGGAGGGTAGGCAATCCATTCAAAAGCTGCTCTTCGTGTTTGGGGCCCCTGGGCCCCATTGCGTTGGTTTTTACGCATCCGGGGCCTTTCGGCTCGTCACGGACTATGTGCAGTGCATGTCCTTACCTTCTGGTTACTTCCTGAAGGCTTTGGATTTCATATTACCCGAATATTGGTGTTCTATTGTCGGGTCGGATTAAGCTGACTCTGACCGCCGGGTTTGTGGCCACAATTTTGTGGCCACAAGTAGGGACGTACCATCATTTAATACAGGGTGGTCCACAGACCCCTTCCTTTATTTTGCCTATACTGTACCGGATGCAGGCGTGCGACCGGGTTGCATACTCGTACGGGGCCATAAGGCGCCGTAGTGAGCGACGATAGGCAAGCCCGCCCGCACAACTTTTCATTTTCTGGATGCAAGGCACACAGTATAAAATCAGAGACTAGCGATGTCACACACATTAAGTTAAACGCAATTTATTCCGTGAATTCGAACTGCCAAGGCCAAGTGCCGTATATCAGGTTCTTGTTCCTATGAAACTAGCCTTTAATTTGAAGCAGCTAAACAGTTGATATTGCTCGTTGGACAGGCTTAGTTCAGCTATGAATACTTTTCCCAGCACATCTCCAATAGAGGAACCAGCTAACTTCTGTATAGCTGCCATGTTGACTGTCGCGTTTCTCATCTCGTACTTTCCCTAAAATAGAAGGAACACACTGTCCAAACTTGAGTCAAAATGTTTAGGGCCATCTCAGAGCGCAAAATACAGATGTCAGCTTACTGCAGCCATCGGGCATCGAAAAGAGGGGTATAGTGCTTTGATCATGGTGGACCAAGGTAACGAGTCCGCAGTCATCAAAGTACAAACTGCAGTGGTAAACCTTAACGTGGTCAAGTAGGAGCACGTATTGTAGGACACGGCGTCGACGCACTGCGTAACGTTTACCTCTAGCTGTAAGAATACCAGGGGTGGCAGTTTTACGCCAAAGTCATTGTGTCTTTTCAACCCTCAAGACAAACAGATGTTAAGTTGTTGCACCTTGGAAATGAATTTCAGCACTTTCTTCAACAGTACATGTGCATAGTAGTGGTAGATGCCGTTTTTTTCTCGGACAGAGGTGAAGTTGCTGACGAGGAGGTTGCCGGGCTCGTCCTTGCACGGCTCCAAGTCGTAGAGCTGCAACGATATGGAGGGCGCGCGCCGCCCGCCGCTCCCCGCCGGGCTCCGCCCCGCCTGCAACACGCGCGACACTTCGACATTCAAAAAGTAGATCAACACAGTTAAAGTCTTACGAAGCAAAATGCCAAATGCTTCGTACCTACGAAGGGTTTTCTCCTTACGAAGCGTCCAAATCCTTCGTATTACAAAGGATTTGGCATTTTTCTTCGTAAGACTTTAACAGTGAACGTTGTGTATCATTTTAATAAGTAGAGATGCTCTGTGCTCTATCTAATACTCGAGGAGAGATTTTCGCGGGCTCTAATTCATGCTGCTCTACTGCTACGGATTACTGGGCTGTTGCAAATCAGGTCATTGATTTAAAATTATGGTTCAAAAGTCTCGTCTAGAATGGCACATCCAGTACAGTAATCAGTACTCTACATTGTAGGAAGTATACTTCACCCAACTGTTCTACAGGGTGGTCCACAGACCCCTTCCTTTATTTTGCTTATACTGTACCGGATGCAGGCGTGCGGACGGGTTGCATACTCGCACGGGGCCGTAAGGCGCCGCGGTAAGCGACGGTAGGCAAGCCCGCCCGCACGCCTACATGCGGTACAGTATAAGCAAAATAAAAGAAGGGGTCTGTGGACCACCCTGTACATTGAAAACACAAGGCAGAGAGGTGCTCTACACACTAACTGGATTTGTATCTTTTATTTGTACAAACTTAATCAATAAAAATTTTTGCACACTTTTCTGCACTGATTTGAACATTTTAGTGCGTTCATTTGTAGAAATTTATGCACTTTGTCGTACAAATTTGTGCGAAACGAAGGTTTAACTTAGTGCGAACATTTGCACAAAAAACATACAAATACATAAGTGTGTACTGCTTCCAATGAATGCGTTGGTACTTACGACACTCTGCACCAGCAGTGCCACGAACAGGATGAGCATGTCGGCAGTGAGAGCTCGGCTGCGCCTGGCCTGGCGTCGCGGCCGCCACCGCCCTGATTGGGATTTGGCGTTGTTTGGCCTCATTAGCGGCCGGCACAACCCGCGGACAATGAGGCGACTGAAAACTGCGCTATGACGCATGTCGATCACTGGGTAATGACGCACAGTTTTTCTGGAATATTATTTAAGTGAGCTAACAAATTGAATTTTCGAAAGCACCAACAAATTGCCGGTTATAACGACATGAGCCGCGCGAGATATAAGCCCGGGTGACATGAGCCCTGATTGCACCCGACATGGGGCCGAACCCATACCGGCTGGGGCTCATGTCATGTGCAATCGGGGCTCATGTCTGGGACATAAGCCCCGATTGCACTCAAACATGTCTGTCATAAGCCCTGATTGCACTCAAAACATGACCCCCCGACAAGAGCCCCGACCTGAATCCCGACATGAAGTCCGACATGAGCCAACGACCGCCGCCGGCACTGCAGCTTCCACTCAGTCACCATCGTTGACGTAGCTATGCTTCATTGCACCTGCACCCGTCCCCAACTGTCTTTGCTCGACGGGCGATCACCGTTGTCACTACAGGTCACCGTAGGTCGCGGGCAGCAGGCGGTGCCACCTCTCACTACGCCGCGATGGTGCTCTCCCTGCCCTGCCCCAGGTACACCTGCCCACGGGTGCACCCGAAGAGCCCACCGAGGCCAAATGTATCTACCACTGTCATCGACCCATCCGGGTACTCCTTGCCCTGCTGAGGAATGACCCACGGGACCTCTGCCCCCGGTGTTTCGTTTCTTCCCGAGGACGCCGACGCCCTCCAGGGCCCCTGCACCCTGAGCCCCCCTGAGGAATAAACACGGCGTTGAACCCCCTCCGTGATTGTTCGGGGCTGCCCACTTAGCTGCCATCTTTGAGGACACTGGGTTTGCAACTGAAAGCCGGGATCAGCACGTATGCTCGTCGTCGTGCCCCGGTCGGATCTAAACCTTTGGGCCAAAAGAGGCCTCGCGGGTCGTCAAGTGTCGCGTCGTTTGCAGCTTGACCCTGACGACTGTGAACTGTGTAGCTGAACACAGGTGAGTGACGTCTCCGCGTAGCGCGGCGTCGCGGACGCAGCCCTGCACTGCATGTGCCGCCACCTCGCCGCCTGCACGCGGGGCTGGCGGGCAGCGATACTCATGCGGGAGCACCCGGCGCCGGCGGCCCTCGCGGCGAGCCTCGCGGGCCTGGCCACCCTGCTCGCCGCCGCCGCCGCCGGGGCCCACTCCACGGTAAGGGATGTCCCTGGCAATCTGTCGCGTCAGTCAGAGTGGCGAACCTTGGACCGCGGGCCGGCTGAACCCTACGCACAAGGAGGAAGTGATCCCGAACAGGACATCGAAGACCAGGGCGATGACAGGCACACGAAGGCCAAGGCCACCGACAAACGCATCACGAGAGGGCAGAACGCATATCGAGGACAGTTCCCTCATCAGGTTAGTGGGTGGAAATAAAAGATATAAAAGAGTTATGGCTTGGGAAACAAACACTTTGTAATCTTTCATGTGACTCGGGATTCGATGTGTGGGGGTCTCCGAGTGTGTAAGTGTGACAGAGAGAGAGAGAGAGAGAGAGAGAGAGAGAGA